TGCTTCTTTCCAGGCCTCCAACAACTTTCTATACCTTCATAAAAGTCCAAAATTTATACTAGCTACATATTACTACATGCTTGTGACTTTGCAATCATACAACCTGCAGAGAATTAGGGATTGTAGTGTAATAATTACCAGTTAGCTTGAGCCTTCTTGGATGAAACCACATGCTTACCAAGTTCTTCTGGGACCTTAAGAAAAAACAAACAAAAGACACTCTAAACTCTAAAGATCATAAAAATAAGGTAAATCATAGCATGGTAATTAAAAAAAACAGAAGTTCCATGATCACTCAGATCGATGATGACCAGGAATTTAATTGCACCATGAGAAATGTCAACCATTAACAGGGACAGCCAGAATTTCAAGAAAGATTAAAACATAAGCAAGAAAGAATACCTGAGAGGTAATTTCAAAGTGTAACAAGTCACGGGCAAGAGCTGAAACACCAACTGTGGCTGCTGATACACCGTGTGGCCCCAATGAATCAGAGTCCCCTGCTTCTGCTGTTTCGTAACAATGCCCACATAGGAATCTCAAGGCATTTCCCATTTTCAATTCGAGATTTGTTTTCTATTAAAAGAGAAGCTTTGATTTATCAAGAAAGAAAGAACATAGTTTCCTTCGAACTTTTTCGTTGAGAAGGAGAGAGAACCGTGGGGTGTGGGGTGTTAGGTGCGGGTGTAGGGCAGGAATCTTGAGCGAAGAAATTAAAGAAAAGGAAGGAAGAAGAATACGTGGTTGATTTGGTAGTTTATGTTGACTAGAGAGGTAAGATTAAGAAGACCCTTTTGTAAGCAACGCTGAAATCACGCGCTTGTAACAGACGTCACTTCAATCTCCCTCTCTCACTGGTCAGTTTACGAAAAAATGAAAAGAAAGAAAGTCACGCGCCTGCTTTCCAACATTCAACGTTCCTTGCAAATGATAGTTAATTATTATAAGCAAGAACGTAATAATTTCCAGTTCACAGGGGTAAGATGGGTCTTGAATGGTCTCTTGACCTTTTTGGTGAGAAAAAAAAAAAAAAAGTGGACTGGGAAAAGATTGTCGTTCTTCATTTTGTGGTTCAGTGGAAAAGGTTTGGCTGTCGATAAATAGAAGACAACACTGAATATAAAATTTATTTTTGCAGTGTTAATAAAAATGATGTGCTTTTTTTAAACTAATTTATGAGAAAAAAATAATTAGTGATAAAATATTAAAAAAGAATAATATTTCCAGGGGTTGATTTTAGATTTCTAAACCAAAAAACAATCCTACTCCTCCATCATTTGCTTTCCAGTGGAGATATCTTTCCTTTTCTTTCACGAGTTGTATTCCTCCTCTCTTGTCTCAGAATCCGAGTTTAATTCTTTCCAAATCTTCTTGTTGATGGGAAAAAATTCAATTGTATACATATTGATGGAGTCTTGAAAAATCTTCGCATGAAAATTAACCTTTCACGTAGTGATCCTAGACATATATAGACGTATAAGCTTCTTGGTATCAGCTCTGCGCATGAAAAACTGGCTTTTCATATGCTGTGATCTTGGACATAGATGTATAATTAAGCTCAATAACGGCTTTGCTTATGAGCTCTATAGGCTGTTGAGATCGAATGGTGAATGAATGTTTGCCTGAAAAGGCAGGTATTTTTTAAAATGAGAGATAATTCTCTTATATTTAAGTGAGTATAATGGAAAATAAATATACAAAAAGATATAAGTACAAGAAAGTGTTGAATTTAAGAAAATTATAACATGTCATGTTTACTTAAATCATCTAGAATATTTGGTCAGGTTAACTCATTTTCAAAAAAGTTATATGAAAATTATTTGGCAATTAATAACATATATGTTTATCATTAAATGTACTACTTATAGATAATTTTTTTTGATAAATATTAGTAATATGTTGGGAATAAATAATTGATGTTGATTAAAAAGTCATTATAAAATAATTTTAAAATATAAAAATCTGAATAGAATAAATATAATATAATTTTTGTATTTTAAAAATATTTTTAAATTAATTTTACTTGGTATGAGTTAATATATATATATTAAATTTATTTTTTTATCTTAACACATGTTTATATAATAAATAATATCAAATATTTATTAATAATTTATTGTTTTTATTTTAAAAATCCTCATGTTTATATAATAAATAATATCAAATATCAAATATTAATAAATAATATCAAATATTTATTTTACTTGGATTTTTAGTTTTTATTTTAAAAATCCATGCTCTATGCCACTGGTTTTGACCCACGAGTGAATCATCAATATCCTGGATGTTGTACATAATAACAAGTCTATGATGTCAAAACTTTAGTGTCAGAGAACCTACACCAAATCCAGGCGGTGATTGGATGACAATGGTTCTCGTGAGATAGTTCAGAAGGGCTGCCTGTGCAGCCGTTCTCCGAGCAAATCCTTTGTGATTTTAAATTCGTGGAAAAAGAAAAGGAAAGGAAAGATTTCTCTGCTTTTTTCAATTTAATTATAATTTTGAGGGTTTAGTTAAAATGATTAAATTTTGAATTTATTACTTAGAAATGTTTAGTTTAAATTCTATAAATCCTAATTTCTATAATTATTAATTTTAAAATTTATAAAATTAATTAAAATACATACATAACTATACATATAATTTTAATAAAAAAAATCACCTTCATATCAACCCAAACAACAAACAACATCGGCACCACCCTGAGTCGTCGTAGGGGGGAGGGGGGGCATTGACCCTAACATGTCACATGGGCCAACACCTAAACGATCGAATATTATCCTTTTCAGCTCCCTCTTGTACCTTTCTCTCGAACATTCTATCTCCTCCCTCCCCCTTGGATCTTCTGCCTCTTTTTCACCGCATAGATTATTTAACATATTCACATTGGCGGAGTTTTGTCTGGGGGGCTTTTTGCTGCCGTTTTGGTTGCTTAGGGCTTCATGGATTTGTTCAACAGATCAGACTATTTTTATTATCGAATATCTCTAAAAAAATCTAATAGTAGAATTAAACTACCTAATTAATTAAATCTTAAAAATATTATTACAAAAAAAATCCATCTTTCTTATAATCACATGTTAATTATTATTTTTTAATTTATTTTATAATAAATTAATGTTATTCTTGCTGACTTATTGTTTTCTACAAATATGTTAAATATAAATGTTATTTTTTTTAATTGTGTATATAATTTTTAAAATTATTCTATACTTTATTTTTAATAACTAGCAAGTTCATCACTATTATTTTTTATATAAAATGTATATTAAAATATATATCAATTCATCAAAACATATTTCAATTCATATCTATATACATATAATATTACACATATATATTTTAATTCAACAAATTCCTAAATTATTACACGTCCTAATATTTTTAATAACTAATTATAAAAAAATAATTATTTATTCTGCTTTTTATTTTTATATTGTTATGTTTTCTTCTCCTCTGTTTTTAAAAGAACAAAAAAAGTTTAATGAAACATGTGGAGGATATATATTATATATTATATATTGTATCATGTTTAACAATAGCTAACTTGGTCAATTAGTAGAAATTAAATCTGTATTATTAATATTATAATATAAAAATATTTTTAAAATGTAAATAAATAAAGTGGGCAATTACCTCGGCTCCACGACTGGACTCAAAACCTGCTAATAACACTAACTAGTAGCCGGGATAAAATTATGCAAAGAAAAAGGGTAATGATAATATTCTACATTGCAGTTCTTAAATGTAATGTCTAATGGAAAATACAGGCGCTACAGTCTGCGGCCTACACACATGATCTGCAGTGACTAGCAGCAGCAGGTGCTTGCACCGACCCATTTGATTTTCATCCATCGTTGTTGTATACTTACGCTCCATGACGATGATGCTTGATCCAGTTCCATATTAAATTTATTTACGAGGAATGGTAACGTGCTTTGTTCAGTTATTATCTCGGGTGTTTACCTTAGCTTCAAAGGGATTAGTTTAAAAAGATTGCGACAGTGGGCATTTATTGGTATTCTGTTTGGATAATGAGCTTCATTGTTTACAGTGCAGATGAACGTTTTGTTTTCTGCAGAATGGAAGAGGGAACTCTGTGAATCCATTTGGGCTATAGCGGTCACAAGTCAAGACAATCCATTTTGGGCTTAAAGCCCGCATGCTGAAATCTTGTTTCTATAGCTTGAAGCCGGCCATTAGTTGTTAATTAATTAACATTTACTGAAATGCTTTGATATTTCACATTAGCAATGAACAATAAAATGTCTGGATTTTTGCCTGTGTCTCTTTTTTTTTAAAATTCAGTTTTTTTTAAATTTTATTATTTAATATTATATTTTAATTTTTTTAATTTCATTTTTTAAAATTATATTTATTATAATAATGAGCATGTAAATACTAAGACTTTTTTTACTTTAATTTTACATGTCCACCAGATGAGCTAAGTTCGGGTTTTTCAACTCTTTTTAATAATATTTTTTTATTTTATTTTTAAATATTTTATTTATTAAAAATAGCTTTGAAGTTTTTTTATTTTACTTCTTCATATTCTCATTTAATTTTTTTTGTTAGCAAATAAAATTCTTCAACATTTATTTTTTTAATTTTTTTCTTGCAATTTTATCCCTTAATATTTAATTAATTAAAAAATAATTTGTGGTTTTTTTTTTGTATTTTTCTTTATACAAAATTATCTTAATCTTCTGTTTATGGTTGCAATGTTGATAAGTTTAATCTGACTTGATTTAAAGTTTTTTTTTGTTTTTTTTAAATATATTTTGTAGTTTATACCATCAATACTGAAATATTTGATAATTATATCTTATAAAAAAGGTTTTGTAGTTATCTTGATATCATAATTATATCGTAAAATTAGCATGCTAATCTAGATAAACACAGTGTGCTTTTTTGATATTTTTTGTTAATTTATTTATTTTTGCTATGTTTTTTTATTTATATTATTTAAACTAATTGGATTTCAAATTTTCTTCTTTTATTTCTTGAAACGCTTGCGTTGCTATCATTTTTCTTATCATGAAAGAAATTTAGACTAGCCACCTATCTAGCAGGTTAGCAAGTCAAAACCACAAAAACATATAGATCAGGAAGTCTCGATGCTTTAACCTGAAAAGCTTCACATTTCCATGTTCCCGTGGCTAGGTTTTGGTCGTATATTCCCATATAAGAAGTCATTCCAGGTGAGAACGCATACACTGCAGCATCACAAACTAAACAGATGCACGACGACATTTGTTGGCTCTCTCATGACAAGGCTTGTTCTCTCATAATACTTCCATTGGAATGGTAGAAGAAACGTGGCGTTGGAACTTGAATATCGAAGCACTGGAAAGGGCCCCTTGTTCTATAGGTATTCTTATTGATCGACATAGAATCCTCGGCTTGTCTTCTATTTCTGCCACATCAAAGATCTATCGGCTAGCCATACTGCTTGTCGGGAGGCGCACATGACAGGGAGGCTCTATCCTTTGCCTTATGGACGGCCAAAAACCCCAGAGTTCATCCAACAGTCATGCGAGTGTGTATGATGAAGAATTTTTGAGAAAAGTTAGAATAGAAATGCCAAGCGGTGCTATTATCAATTTCATAGACGATAGCGCAAGAGATGGATCTGGAATCTTCTCGTAGTTCAATCAATTTTGGCAGACCACGGCCTTATCTTTGGAGGTCGTTGCCATGAAACAGAGCCAGAAGCTCCAACAAGCCTATCAGAATGTATGAATTTGCGAAAGCTTGGGCCGATAGGGGATATACTTGCTTCCGAGGATATTTTGTGACATTAAAAACGCCATCAACATTGCCTCCCTATAAAGTATAAGCAGGGTTCGTAGTAAGACCCTAATAGAAACTCTCTTTTTTTAATCAATCATTGATAGATTCATGAAAACCATCAAGAACATACAAAGAAACCATACAACTTTGACTCTGTACCAGTTGCGTATCCTTCCTCGTTTCCTAAAGAAGTAGAATTGGCTTTGACAGATGTCTTTCCTTTTTTATCAACAGGTACTGAAGCATTAACGTCGTGGTGCGTGTGTTAGTTACGGCGAAGAAAGCAAGCACATAGATGGCCAAGGTAGATAAAATTAACTTGCTAAACTATGAGACCATAATGTAATCAGCTCTGTCGGAGAAACTAATTGCAAAGATAATCAGATATTTCCATGATGAATCTCAGCTTACCTTCTATGTATCACACAAAGGATCAAAACCAACATGGTCAACTGATGTTGCTTCACTTTCTATGTTTGTGTAGATGGCATAATTTAGCTAGCTTATACCCGGCCCCAGTAACCCACGAAAGCAAAAATGTATTAGCTTGTCGGTATCTAGCTGGATTGCAAATCATTTAATTCCAATTCTTGCGTCTTCCTTCAATTATTATTTTATCATTTTGTTTTGCAATAACTAAGGCATTACTGACGCTCGATGCAATGCAATTCCTTTTGATTAATTAGCTCTACTAGAATCAGATGATAACATGTAATTTACTCTCTGTCCAAGGCCATCCATGCTCAAAACAAATATAAAATAACTGGATTTAATCAGATGCTTATGATTTCATTTGCTTCATTATTCCCGAATAAAGCTAAGATTCTACAAAGCGCCTTCTTTTTTCTGCACAATAACATGAAAAACCCAGATAAAAGAAACAGCTAGAACAGAATTCAAAGTCTAAGAGCGATTCTGTACAAAACAACCAACTGGGTTATCCTCAAACTTGCCGAGTCACACAACTCTACTTCGGTTGCTGAATCGTCCTTGGACTCAGCTTCACACTCACTATCTTGGGTGCCTTCTCCGAATACCTCGGTGCCTGAGCACGATCAACTCGACCCCTTTTCCACTTCACCACTCCAAGCGAAACCAATTCCTTGTTACATCCCTTCACCTCCTCCTCCTCTCCTGCAACAAAAAGAGAGAAAACCGAGTTAGAGAGTAGACTTGGCGACTCGGAGGAAATTTTAATTTCTAGGACGGCACTTATTTACCTTTGATAGTGTCGTAAATTGGGTCGTCGAAGAAGAGAGAGTAGAGATCGTCAGGGAGGAAAGAATCATAAATATCAGAGAATGAAGGGTCAGATTCGGGATCATAGAAACGTTCTGCGAGCCAGTAGTCTCGGAACCAAGGGGAGGACTGGACAAGGGCCCACCATTGGTCGGAAAAATCCTCCACCGTTCGATATGACAGCGGTACAAATAGCGGAGCGTTAGGATTTAATGTTGATGCTGATCTGTGAGACATTATCTCCATTGCCACTTGAAATAAAGCTGCGAGAGAGAGAGAGAGATGAGTGAAGGGTGGTGGGTATTACTAGATGCAGAGAGAAGAGCTGTTAAGGATAAGAAGAGATATTTTTGATATTTTTCTATAAAAACTATGATGATTATATAGCAAGGTCGGGTTTTAAATAGCCTTTCTTTCTGGTTCTATTTGCAGAAATGACATTTTTTTTTAATACATTCAAATGCTATTTTGTTTTCTTTTAAACAAGTTTTTTCTAATTAAAAAAATCGGATCTTTTAAAATTAACATTTAAACGGAACATTATTTCCATTTAAATGCATGCAAAATCTTTCTTTTAATTAACATTTAAAATTCGCTTTGGTTGGTTAGGCATGTAAAATGTACATTTTTTTCTAGTTATGTAAGAAAATTGTTATCATACTCGAAACATAAATATAAAATGTACATTTAAAGTAATTTCTGTCAATAAAAGCTTATTATATAATCATATTTTCTTAAATAATATTAATCTAATGACAACAACAAAAAAATAATAATCTGATTAGGTGATATAATTAAATCTGCCTGGATTAGGAAGAAATATTAGTATTTGTTGAAATCCTTAGAAAACTAATCTTTTTATTAACAACATTATCTCAAGTCACTAGCAATTTATTACACTTTTTTTTTATGGAAAGAGCAATACCGGAACAACAGAATATAAACGTTACGGGCAGGTCACTAAAAAACAAAGACAGAAGTCAGGAATATAAATACCCTGCAGCGTGTCTTTGAAAAAAAATTACTTTTATTTTTATTTTTATTCGAAATTATTTTTTATAGTTTATAAATTTTAAAAAATACATGAATTTAATAAATTTTTAAATAAAAAATAATTTTAAAAACAACTTTTACCGGTAAACAAGAAAGTGATCTTGTTTCCCAAAATCCAAAGCTACGGGGACCCCAAAGGAAGAAAAGCACTGTTAAAAGGCACGTGCTTCTTCCTCCTTATCTTTTTGCTTCTTCTTCTTCTTTGTTTTTTCTAGGGAATGAACTGCACCTTGTTTTGGCCCAAGAGAGTACATTTGATTATGCAATCCACGAACTAATATTTGATTTAAAAAAGAGAGCAAGTGGGGTAATATCAAAAGTAAGAAAACTGACGTGTAATGGTGTGAGTGGTGTTCCTTGCTTTCCCTCTTATCTGCGTAGTAGATAACACGTCATTGCTCTGATCCTGTGTTCTTCTTCTTCACTTATAATATAGTAAGAAACGTTTCTTGCTTCTCTCTCTCTCGCTGGGTGCATACTGCATCCGGGGGCCAAGGCCCGAGACAAAAGAACAAGCACGCCTCAATTCACATGCACCATTAGAAGAAAGAAAAACTGATTTTGTAAACTGATTCGAGGCCCGCTCTAAAAATGAAAGAATCCAGTCCGACTCCGAATAGAGGTCCAAATGGGTATAATTTTCGTTTAACGTCCGCCCCACAAAACTTGCTCGAAACCTGTTTTGTTATCCAACTCACGCTGTACTCTCAGATGTCAGATTGCGGTGATTGACAGGTAAATTCGTATGCAGGTGTCGATTATTAGCCCAACGAGTGGGAATTCATAAACAATTTTGCTCACATTCCACATCAGGGATGCATAAAGAAGATTCAATGTCGAGGTTTGAATCACTTAACTAGAGTAATTTATTTTTTAAAGATTATAGGTCGAATCTTATAAATTCTAAAATTATTGAATATTTATATAATTATTAATTTTAAAATTCATAAAATTAATTAAGTCACATTCAATCTAATCCGGACATGTATGTTAATTAAAAAAAATTCAGTGTCATTCTATCTTTATATATACGAGAAGAAAATTGGGCATTCATCATTCGGGGTTGAAGAGAAGATGAATGTTGCTGTCAGTATCAATTGGTGAACGTGATTTGTCAAGAATATGGAGTAACCATTTTAGGCAAAGAAAAGAAAAGAGATAACTAACCTGGGCCTGTGATGACTCATCAATTTGAGCCGCTGAGAAGGGGGAGGCAAAAACCCTCACTGGGTTGAGAAGAAACTCAGGAACCAGCACGATCCGAATTTAATGCTTCCTAACGGTCAAAATGGAGGATGCATCATGCATGACAGTAGCCACAGAGTCCACAGTTATGAATAAAGGAAACGTCCAGATTCCTTCCCCAGTCAACTACGGCTCTTGTTAGAATGCCGCGCTAAACCAAACCTCTCATTTAAACACATCCCCCCTCTCCCCGTCCTCCCTATCTCTCTCAATTAACACCATGGCTGTTTCATCATCATCTTCTTCGCCTTCCAGAAATCTGAAAATAGGTATGGTGGGCTTTGGCCCGTTTGCACAGTTCCTGGCAAAGATCATGATCAAACAAGGGCATACTTTACGGGCGACTTCTCCTTCCGATCATTCTTCCCTCTGCCAAGATTTGGGCATCTCATTCTTCAGGTTAGCACACATCCAAACACACAAATGTCTGCAAGAATTGTTGCTGAACATGCAGTCTTTATAATTCTGCTTATGCTTTGCTAGGGACACGGGCACATTTCTTGAAGCAAATAATGATGTCATTTTGATTTGCACATCAATCCTATCCCTATCGGAGGTTCTCAATACAATGCCACTACATTGCCTGAAACGGTCACCTCTCTTTGTGGATGTTCTCTCAGTCAAAGAGTACCCGAGAGATGTTCTATTGAAAGTATACTGTCATTTCCATCATACCATATTGAAGTTAAAATACGATTTGTTCCTTTTGATGTTATTATCTCGGCGAGTATTCAAGCACGCATGTCAATTGCTCAGGTGCTGCCAGTGGAATTGGATGTTTTGTGCACTCATCCGATGTTTGGGCCGGAGAGTGGGAAAAATGGATGGAAGGATCTTGCTTTTATGTATGAACGAGTTCGAATAAAGGACGAAGCTACGTGCTCAAGTTTTCTACGAATTTTCGAAACTGAGGTAACCTAATAACACCACCAAGATAACTCTCCCTTTTGGCCTTAGCTGGCATAGATGTTATTAGTTGCTGCTAAACAACAGCCTAATCAGCGACTTATAAGCCATGTATATCAGTAAGCACTTGACCCAAGAGATAACCATTAGCCAAGAGACAACCTTTTTATCAATATGCTTGTTAAACGGGCCACTTTCTTCACATCTCTATCCTAAAAACAACGAACATGAAACAACTAAAACTCGACTAGTGAGGAGTTATCCTTATTAGTCATTGGGCCACTTCTGAACAGATAAAAGAATAGCTACTTAACATACGAAGACAGCAAAATGCTTTCTATACGCCTTCACTTTTCATCTGAAGGAATCTACCTCTTGATAAAAACAGGGTTGGGGGAGACAAAACTCCACCACCGAGCTTTCGACCCAGCATTTTCAATAAGATTGCATCCTCGATATATTCCCCATTCCATAATGCAATAACTATAAAATGTTTGATTCTTTGGTGACCAGGGTTGTAGAATGCTTGAAATGTCTTGTGAAGAACATGATATGGTAGCTGCACGGAGTCAATTTCTTACTCACACAATTGGGAGGTAAAACTACTGCCTTCAAACATTCTAGACCGAAACCACAATTAAGCTTGAATTCCTTCCGATGTAATAGGATTTTATCGGAAATGGAGGTCAAGCCCACATCCATGAGCACAAGAGGTTTTGAGACACTGATTCATCTGGTATGCTCAATTGCTCAAATTTTCATCAACTCTATTTCCCCCTGTATCCTTGTCATTAAACAGACCCTAAATACAAAGTGAAGAAAGAAACCAAATAAGTCTCTTCTTTTTTCTTCTTCTCAGAAAGAGAGCACCATGAAAGACAGCTCTGATCTGTTTAGTGGCCTATTCGTCTATAATAGATTTGCCAAACAAGAGGTAAATTTGCTATACTCTTATTAACATGGTCACCTAAATTTTAAGATTTTAGTTATTTTTTCTTTCTTCTTTTTTTTTAAGATTGTGTGACACGGAATCTAATGTTCCCCAAAAAATTTCTGATGCAGCTGAAGAACCTAGAACTTTCCTTAGAAAAGGTTAAGCAAATGCTACAAGACAAGATGACCGAAGAGCAGAAACTGAATGAGTCCAAGTTTTGATGTAGAAGTCTTGCCAATATCGCATTAAACATATACTGTTGTGCTATGACTAATTATGCTTTCCGCTTAGATTTGGGCATTCATTGCTTTTGGCTTCTATTCCTTCACGTCGTTTTAATTCTCTCCTACAAGACATGGGATTTCTTTTCCAAGAATGTACCCGGTAACTTCTTTTTTTATCCTTACATAACGTGGGTAGAAAGAACAAGAAGATAAAAGTAAACACTCAAAAACTGAAAAACAAAACTAAAAAATATCATAAAGATATCATCTTATTTTAGAGTTTAACTCTAATATTAATTGATGCAAAAAATTAAGCTATAATTTGAGAGTTTTAGAACGAGAAGTTGATAAGTGTTGAAGAAAAATCACAATAGTTATCATTTAAATATATATGTACATAAGTGATTAGTACATCGTGTTTATTTAAAATTTTTGTTAGTTATTTTTTTTATACAGTATTGCTAAAGAAAGGTATTAACAATAAAGGAATTTTGAAAGTTTAAACAAGAGGCTACTGAAGTCGCTACCAATCCTATTTAAAATTTGAGCACAAATCTTCTTGAAAAGGGAGGGAATGATATGGTTCAGCTTGTGATATAATCTATGTAAAGTCAGATTCGTATTTTGGCGTAAAATATACAACAATCCAAGTTTACAGTAATAATCATAATTCTCAATCCGATAATTAAATCGGGCTAAAATTTTATGCAGGCTCTTCAGATATGTTTTCCTACCTTGAGTAAAAATTTCAAGTTCAGAAAAATATCACAATATTGGTTAACATAAACTGTGTGAATTTTATTATTTACTTTCTTTTTGACTTGTGGACTTTCTATTTGGTTAGAATTCTTTTTCTATAAGAATGTGGCAGCTAGTTTTGGAGATTTTCTAGTTCCACAAGAATCTTTAATGAGCTGCAATATAATCTTTGAATGTGGTAAGGATTCATTAATGTTTCAGAATCTTTTTTTTATAAAAATTTCTTATTCATCATAGTTATACAAGGAAAGAAGGGATAGTGATATTTAATGAAAAATTAATTATTTTTTTATATTTGGGCTTAATTAATATTTTGTTTTGAGCTAGAATCCAAGGCTTGTTTGGATCGGGTTAAAGATTTCCAGTTTAAGGTTTTTGAATTAGTTTTATATGTGGATTAGTTCAGTCCACAATGGTAGATCCATTAGTGTTACTTTTAAGAATTATTTAAACACATATAATCTAAATTTTGACAGTTTTTTATTATTATTATTTCTGAAATTTTTTAATTTTAACATGTAAAAGGGATTTTTGCATTATAATTTTCTTGTTGTAGGGCTTTAAGCTCTCCTTCCAATCAAAATAAATAAATATAAATATTCAAGATGTTAAAATAAGAAGCCACATGTTCTCTAACTTCTATGACTTCTATAACACGGTATGTCAAAATACCAATCCTATTGGATATGCAGATGTATCACCAATGCTTTGCTATGTCTGTGCCTCGCAGTTACTGGGTGGCATACGAAGTTTGGATTTATATGCTCCCTAAAAATGGCAGTGTGTTATTGCTGGGTAGGTTTGAGGATTGCCAAGTTTGAAGTTTTAAGGGTTTGTTTGCACTTATATACTAGGTGAGATTTGATGCTAGCCTCCAATCTAGTGGTAGTGAACTTCTTGCTTTTGCAAGAGTTAACTAGTTCAAATCCTCCGTCTAGCATATTTGAGTTTCAAAAAAATGCCCCATTACAAAACAAGTCAAAGGAGCCCCTCATCTTTGTAATGGTAGCCAATTCAGTCCCTGGTGGCAACACACTTCCCCTACCCCGCTAATTACTAATGCTAACTCCCATAACCATTGATTTTGGGATCCTATGTCCAAAAATAAAATTGCTGGCAGAACCAAAGTAGCCCCTCATCTTTGTAGTGGTTGCTAATTCAGTTTGTCCGTGGTACTATTATTAACTCCCCTACCACTGATTGTGGGTTGCACATTTCTATCTTTGGCACACACGAGAAAGAAAGGGTTCTGTTGGAATCCTAAAATCAAGTTCTGGGATCCCTGTGGCGGTAGCTCAAGTCAGAAATTTACGATTTTTTTTTCTAATGATTTAATTCCTTGAGAATAGTAGGAAAACACGCAGGAATAAGAATCTCAAGCAAGGACAGAAAGTAGCTTGGAGATTGCCATAGAAGAAATAACAGAGCAAACGAGATGAAAGAACAAAAACATGCACTCCATACCCGTCCTCAAATGCAAATCAAAACACTCACTATTTCATTATGAAATCTAAGAAAATAACCCCGGCACATAGGTAAGCTGACACTCACTGCTGTTTCATACTGAAATTCAAAATCCTACGCAGGAAAATCCCGGCCAAAAATTATCCTACTTAGAACCTTACACATATAGTAAACACGAAAGCTTCAGAATTTCTTGGAAGATTCTAATTTTACCAAAGTTATCAAAATACCCTTGTTTCTCTAGAGACTACAAAGAATTAAGATTTTATGCACCTTCCAAATTCACCCATAGCACATCAATTACATTCCCAAATTAGGAACCGTGACCTCATACCAGATGGACTTACCTCCCACGCTCACCCACAGTTCATCAAATAAATCCCAAACTAGAACCCATAACCTTGGACTGATAATCCAATCTATAAAATCCCATAAAAACAACATTTTAATTTCCCTTGGAAGAAAATCCCTGAACTTTCAAGTTAATATTTAGTGAAATAGACAGTAAAATAAAACAAACTGCCTTAGGATTATGCCATTCATTTCTCTGGAGAATAATTTCAAGCTATACTTCTGAATTTACTGCATAAATTCAAATTTAGTGCAATCGGTATAAAATCTGTAGCTAAATCTAGTGTGCCTACGCCATGTTTGCCAAAATTTCAAAGAATTATACTGAACAAATTACATTAGGGCAATGAAAGAGGTATATGATTGAAATCTATTCCTTTCAGTTCTCTCAGCTGCTCAGGAAGAAAGCTTTACAAAGGAGTACAAAAATATGAAAGTAGAATCACCACCTCATTGATTGTTGATTTCATCAATATTGGTATCTTTCAAGGTATTACATCCAATTGCAGCTTTACTAGGAGAATCCAGTGTCTGATAAGAGGGTGGTTCACTCTTCTGACTTTGCAGTCCTGAAAAGCGTGCAAGGTCGACCCATTGCTGCAGGAATTAAGGCAAAAGACAAAGTCAAGTTCATGCTAAAAAAGAGAAAACACTGGAATGCAATGCCATTGCTGATATTTTGTTGATGATTTTGATTTTGGTGGGGCCCATCAAGTTGATATTCATGAACTAAATCACCCCAAATGAAACAGCTCCACACTTTAATACCAATAAAATAAATCCCCTTAGTTTATAAATGGTTTACCATTTTTGCAGAAGCCTTTCTCTTCAGATAAGTACATGCAAATGCTTAGTATCTTTGACTACATGATTTCAAAGAGATGCATGACTTAAAAGATATTTCAAAGAAGTAAATATAGCTTTTACCCCAAGTGGAACTTGTAGTGAATGAAGAAGATTCTAACCTGAGTTCCCCAATAGGAGTTAATTGTCCGAACAATAAATGACAGCATATTTACAAGAAGAGTTTGAGAAGAAAATTCATCAGAGATTCGATGCTCGACAATTCCAGCAATTATCTGCAATAACCAAGGAAAAGAAAAGGCTCAAGCAAAATAATTTACCAAATAAATAATTTACCAAATCCTACAGGATATCAGCTACGGAAATGCCATGTGCATGCTTTTTCAACCTTCTAAATAGAGATAGCTATAAGCCTGTAATACTAAGCCTACATAGCTTCCCTTATAAAAGCAGCAGAGCAAGGACATGGAAGCTGGGAGCTCGATGTTTGCAGGAGTGCTGCCCCAGTTGTTTAGCTCATTTTATCATGTTGACCAATGATATAACAGACCATGCTTTTCAAGGACTCTGTAAATTTCCGAATGAAGGCGCAACACTAAATCAAATTTATATGTTATAGCAGACATTTAAGAATTTACAGCCTTAGTTTAAGCAATTGAGCAAATACAGGTTCTAAAAAAGCTAGGTATGCATGGTAACCTAGAAGCCAAGGCAGATTCAGACTCTGGAAGGTCATGAACAGCAATTTCTATTAAAGGTGATGAAGGAAATCGAGGGCAAATTGGATATCAACTCACATGAACTATTAGTACATGGTTCAAATCAACAGTTGAAATTCAGCATACTCTACTGTTAGCTCTTAACTTGCAGTGAGATTAAAAAGATAGCGATGAAACCATTGGAAAAGAGAAGAAAAGAAAAATCACTTCATTGTTACTTAATCCATTCTGTCCAGGACCATATTCCTCGTATACAGCCATATTTACATGCTCTTCCCAATAGAAAGGAAGCCAGATATTCAAGGAGTTTTCGCCATCATACTATTTATCCTTACCTTATAGTGGAACTAACAATAAATAATCTATGCCCAAATAAATTTGTCAGATAATTTGCAATGCAAAAAATGTAATTAACAGGTCCATTTTTCACAGCAATAAGTAACTCTACCTGATACCGCAGATTGGCTGATGTTCCAAGAAAGCATCCATAGATAGCTGCTGTTTTGAGTATTGGTGATCTTTTAGTTCGTCGATCAGTAACCAATGCTGGATTGATTAGTTTGCGAATTGCATACAAAAGATTTGAGGCAGCAACAGCCCCAATACTGGAAATAAATCCAACACTAGAAAGCTTCACACCACCAACAATGACAGATGCTACTCTGTGACTGATATTCCAGTCCTTCCCTACAAGATTCTTTTGAAATGCATTATCTGGGATGGACTTAAGGAGACCTTTTAAAGCATCCACACTGTCAGGGACTGCTGTGTCATCAGCATAAGAAAGGAATGACAAAGTTGGGGCAGGAAGCCACACAGTAAAAAAATCAACAACTATTCCCCTGACAGTGTCTGTAATTACATAGTCAAGCTCTTCAAAGAAATTTTCTTTTCGCCTCTCATATTGCGCCAAAAGAGTAGTGGTGATTGAGATTGCCTCTTCTATAGCTAATCTATGCAAGAATTTGGGATCTGCC